TTTTCTTTCTCATACATGAGAAATTGTCATTTTGATTTTCTCTCTACATTTACTGGTAAAAAAATTCCGGATAGGAATTGACGTTATCGTGCCAAAAATATGAGCTTTTGATAACAAAATGTAGCTGCAAGAAATAATTCATTATCTTGACCTTAATTAACTCCAAGGAGGAACTCTTTCGGAAACGGTGCAAGTTCAATTATTTGAAGAAATTTATTGTCTAGTATTTATTGCACTTAACTAAAGCTTACTTAATAGGAAAAATATTTTTTTGCCCTTTGCTGAATTTTATAGTAACTGACTTAAAGGACAAGCAACCTGCACCTAAAAGGAAGAAGAACAAGCAACCTGCTCCAAAAAAGGAAGAAGACCAAGCAACTTGCACCAAAAAGGAAGAAGAACAAGCAAAAGGCAGACTTATGATATAGCAAGGCTGTGAAGTTATATTTAACAAAACATAGCAAAGACAAAAACCAACAAGTTTTTACAGAGCTCTGGTAAGCCGTTAATAGAATTCTGCTAAACGATGTATCGGGGTATTTAAGTCAAAAAATAGTAAAAATAGAACTACTCTAAAATGTTTTAACAAAATGTTAAATGCAAAACATGTCTTTATGTAAATTAATTACTATTTCCAAAGAAAAAATTTTTACACTCCGTCATAAATAACATTAACACAGCGAAAGTTTGCTCAGCTACTGTGGACAAACGATGACCTGTAAAAAATTTAAACTCTATTTTAAGAAAAAAATTATTGAAATTCTATTGTAACGACCAATGACGTAGCACGGAAAACCCCGTTCGTACTTTACGAACTCTTTCCTTTTTCTTCTTACAATTCACAAAGCCCAAATTAATCACATTCTACACGAAAGTGTGTCTACATTTTCGGCTGAAGCTAAAGCTAAACTTACAACGGATATCGTCACAGTTACTTCGTCAGTCATAAAAACTTTGTGTAACCCCTTAAATTTCAACTGGAACACTATTGCCGCGCACGGAGACAAAATTAAATTTTTTATTTCCAAGTCTTACTGGCCTCTTGGGAAATGAGCGGGCGGACCTAGCAGCACAATCTGCACATTCCGCCCCTTTGTGATACATTCGAAGAAGTTGACTTTCAAGATTCGAGGAAAAAAATCAAAGCGAAAACTTTCGAAACTGACAATCGACAGTACTATCACATTACTCCCACGTTATACTTGACCTCATTCCCTTTCATTTTCAATCAACGTTGGAAAAATCAAGATCAAATTTTTGCACTTGGCCATACCATTGCACAACATCATTGAATCCCTAATAATTTTACTTCTCCAATATACGATTGTGGATAACATCTTACGATTACACATATTCTTCATGAATGCCAAAACCTTTCTAATATTCGAACGTTAGTTTTCGAGGCATGTAGCGCTATGAATACCTTGAAAACATCTTTGGAGCAAAGCGCCAAACTTATTATGTAATCTACCTAAAAAAAAAGAAGAAGAGAGAATTCCTTAGTAGCTATTGCTCATCGTACTTCTATTTCTACAATTTATTCTTCTGGTCTAAACAAATTATAATAATAATAATAATATTTAATAAATGTATAAAAGAAAATATATAAAAAATCTATAATAACAAATGTGTGAAAATGAGAAATAACTCAACTTTTCTCAGCTGTTTATGTTTTGCTTTTATAACCGCTTTTCTACAAAACCAAGTCCAAAAGAGATTTTTGTGGCAACTTTTCTTGGCTTATGATCAATACTAATGCAAATTTATTCCTAGCAGTAATTTTACTTGACGTAACACAGAGAGCACATTTGGCGACAATTACCAGCAAATTAGCTTACGTGATTAGATTTTATTTCTGACTGTCGCTTACTCCACTGTTGTCTGCTTACATAAGCAGTCATTTATGAATCGTTTTGTTACTATCGAACCACCATAATAAGAAAGAGTGTCTCAGATTGATACTTTTAGAGTGTTTGAAACTTAGAATTACTGCGTGTTCCCCATAATTGTATAAAGTAAGTCCAAATAAGTTGACACTTAAATTAATTTGAAATACACGAATTAATTGGTAGAATCATCTAGCCTTTAAGCCGAATTGGTGGCATTTAGCTTTGCTATGAATTTTCCATGTTAATCTTTAGTCAACATGATGAGCTGTGATATTTTACACAGTTGTGGATAGGAATTTTACTCGCATTGAAAAATAATGAAACATAAAAAACCTTATCTAACGTAAACGCGCGGACTTTTAAAAATTTTTTTTGATATTTCATTTTTCGGAATTCAAAAAAAATTTTTTTTAGACCATAAACCATGGTTTCTCTAGAAATTTCAATACTTCTTCCAGATTTGAAGACCAGGAGAGGTTATCAGGTTAAAATGTTTCTTTACGATTGTGAGCAAAATTTTCAACCTTCGATGTCATATCTGCAACAATTTCCGCACCAATCTTTTAAAGAAAAAATGCGCCTGGCTGGTCGAGTGAGATATTTAATAGTTCACGATAAGCAAGCTTCATCAAACATGCCTATATCGTCTTGACTAAGAAATTGTTTATTTGATCATTTCTTATCTCAGCTAGACCTAAGCGCTGATTCTTTGCGGGTTCGGAGCCCTATTCTAATTCCCTTTATTTAGAAGAAACCTGTTTAGCAACTGTCTTCTTAATCTCCTCTTGTTGTTCGATCATGTTTTATATGTTTGTATATATACAAAACCGTGTGGTTTGATAATTCCTACGTAGGCTCGTAAAACGTTGAAACATTTTCGAGGTGCGCGGTGCCATTGTGTTCACTTATATTACTTTCTATACGTTCAACTTTTACTCCCAGACTGAAAACAAGACGAAGCTTCATTGTGTCAGCAGACAACAATTCCCTCTACTCCTATTTCGAGGTAAGAGTATAACTTGATTGCCTTCTACGAGACTTTGGAGAATTGGCATATTGCATAGTTCAACGTGAAAACACATAAATAGCGCAAAAAGGAAAAACGCACAAAAAGAAATAGAGACAATTTATTCCAAATTTGAAAGTAATTTATCTAATTTGTGGCATTAAAAGAATATATTAGTTTAAATTCAAAACGGGAAGCGAATGAAAATAATGAATCTTATGAGAAAGTCCGGCATATATAAACAGATACCCATGTTCTTATGCGAACAACACCACTTTGTTAAAGGTTAAAATAAAAACATGCAACATACAAACACATGTCCAAAAATTCGTGAACTGTACGGTGAGTGAACGAAGGACCTAGGAGTGGTTTGGTCGATTCTGATCCTGAAATTTCGATGCCAAATATATACCTTGCTCCAGTCGGTCAGTCACTGGAAAAGTCGATGAAATTTTGCAACTGATGGAACAAATCCGGCTGGCAGGAAATAGCGGAGGCACTAAGCATCAATCACACGACATTTTGGAACCATTTGAAAAGAACAGACTACAGGAAGAGGCCCAAAGAACGCCAAAAAACTGCGGAGAAGTTTAATATCACCCATCGTTGAAAATTGGAACTTTGGTATAGAAAGGTCGACTTTTCCTAGGAATTGGTACCCTTAAACACAATGACACGTTATTCCATGTATGGGTTAATAAGTCTGATGTGGAGCACAATGAGGAGGATGCAAGGATTGACAGGGTAGTTATGTAAAAGATAAATAGTGTAATAAATAAGTTAAAAGTTAGTCTATATTTGTTGGCAACCGCCTGCTACATTGAAAAAACGAGTGTGAATTTGGCGACATATAAGAATAATTGAAAAAGTTGGTAAGTATTTGTTGACAATTGAGAATAATTGAAAAAGTAAGTCTGTTTTGTTGACAACCGCCTGTTGCATTGAAAAAACGAGTCTGAATTTGGCTACGTCTGAGAGTAATTCAAAGAGAATTTGGGAGTAATTCAAAGAGCCCGTCCGAATGTGTTGACAATTGAGAGTAATTTACAAATAAGCTTTCGCTGGTAAAGATCTCTTCGCATGGAGGATCATACTAGGGTTCTTTTGAGACCGGTTATTCCTGTCAGTATAGCCTAATGTATTCGACCAAGCCAAGTTCTTCTTTATAGGCTAATTAAGTTCAAATGTTGTCTAATATTTACTTTTTTTTTTGAATTTTTTAGAGAATTTTTGTATTCTATAGCGTGACTACATGTAACTTCATGTTTTTCATTTCCACAGAACTTACTGCAGCTTTTTCATATTTTCATAGAACTTGCTGGAGCTTTTTTTATTTTCATAGAACGTACAGGTTTTTTCCATTTTCATAGAGCTGCTTCGAGTTTTTTTCATTTACATAGAATTGCTTCGAGCTTTTTTCATCTTCATAGAACTGCTTCGAGCTTTTTTTTTAAATACGCATCGTTTCTTGCACATGCAAATGGACGAAAAGAAGTTGAATGATTTTATTGAAGCTTCTATGAGGCTGCTTAAAGTCTTGGAGGATAGTGTATAAGTGAAGCTAATTTTTGTGCACATTTTATTTTTTAAGCACGTAGGGCCCATTGGAAATAATGTGTGGAAAAAGACTATCAGGTTAAATATACTTGAAAATAATGTTAAAATCTACCTATTTTATCTTGCATATTCGCAACTTACGCTATAAAAAAATAGTCGAATGTTAGAGTTGTTTATGTGAGAAATGTTCTCTAGATAGAAAGATGCTTTTAATAGCTACGAAAAGATTTGATCTCATACAAACATTTACGATAACAGGCAAAACATACCTCCAGAAGAAAACAGCTGAAAAATTTTTAAATAACTTTGCTTATCACCAATAGCTAATCTAATTAATACAAACGAAGACAAAATGTCAATAGTTTTTGATAAAAATTTCTTGTTTATGAAGATGAAATTAGTCGTTTTTGAATGAAATATGTAATCTTGGTTTTTGTTTCCGCCAATCAAATACATGTACCCACGTATGCAGCAAGAAACCAAATCAAGAAGTTGAAACACAAAATAAAGTTCCACGTACTTCTACTGTGCCTTTGTATAACACCACAAAAAACGACAGCATTTTTAAAGAGTCAAGATTGGGAGAATCTTCACCAGTTACGGCAAATGATATTAAAGCAGTTTCAAATTCATCATTGCCGGCTAGGACTATGACGGAAATAATTGTGAGTAAGAAAATTTTGAAATATGGTATGATAATTTTAATTTCCATTTGGCCATTAAGAGGTAATGGTACCTTGTGAATTTCGTCAATACTTCATAAACTGCTATATAGACACGAAAAACCGATATGAACTGACACCAGATACCTGGACGGACAAACAAGATTATATTAAAAATGTGGTTCTGAATCAAGCGCATAACAAAATATGGATTTTTCTTAAATACTTCTGTGCACAAGCTTAACGTATCACGTACCATAAGTGATCCATGGCGTAAAAAAAATCTCCTAGGAAAGACTTCTGCGCTACCATTTATTGTAATGAATTATTAAGATATACATTTCTAAGTACTTCAAAAGCTGTGCAATCATGAGCAAAATTTGTTGTTCCAATGCATTAATTTACTTTTTGTTTATAAACTCGAGAAAATAACTACGAGTCACATGCTCACAATGTAACATTACCAAAAACAAATATTAATATGTAGACTGCATGCAAATATTCGAAACTATGCTGTTTAACTGTTTCCAAACTACTTGTTTGGATTATAAATTTATCTACTATCGTTGATGTTCAAACTACGAAAAAAAATGTTATTTGCATTAGATTGATGATCGGCGAAATGGGCTTGAGCCAACCTCTGTGCTTCTAGATTATTGCAGACGTAGGGTAGGTAATATTTAATTAGTAAAAGTTATTATTCATTATATACGTCTTATATCTCTTCAAGTTTATACAACCTTACACATTGATCCTTTCTGTTGTGGCGTTGAGTCCCATTTCTACGGACACCACTTATTTACGTACCATCATAAGTTACATGCATTCATGTCTCGTCATCATTACTTTAATATTTGGATATTATCTACAATATTTATCAACTTATCGGTTTGTATGCTTATCTTCAACTATATTCTTTTAAAAAATACCCGTAAAAGAAATAGCCTATACAGTACATTATGTCCAATCGACTGATTTTTCAAACTTTAGCGCATTTCTTCTCGTTAAGTTTTAATATACGGACGCATATAATTAGCGAAAATGAATATCAACTTTCGTTATCGCACGTTCTACTTTACGGATGAAGACAATAATGCCCATAATAAGTAACAAACATGTGTTATTCATAGAAAAAACGTTAAAACAAGATAGTAGAAAGTTTGACTTACGAAGGAAATTGTTTATATGACCTTATGTGTTGTCTGATGTCTGTCCCTGTACTTGTGTGTTCAACATATTTGACATGTTTGCTATTTTTGGAGCGAACTCTATACAAGATTTTTAATGAAGAGTACGATCTTCAGAAAAAGATTTAATTCTTAACATTTTGTGGTGAAAATTGGTCCATAGCAGCAATTTACCAAAAAAATGTACGGTATGGGATTTTGGTCACATAGGTACATTTTTTAGACCCTAACTTATGTAAGGGTTATTATGAAAAATAATAAAAGTTGTGGAAAGTAAACTAGGTTTGCTAAATTTTTATCACGCCCTGCGATGTTCGGGCCATTCTCCAATATCCGGGTTGTCATACAAACGATTTTGCATTAAACCAATGTGTAATTTTTGGTGTATTATTACACAACTAAATTAATAACTGTACAATGCGAAGTTGTGTGAGATATTTAATGGTCGGCTTTGCCCAACTACAATATTCTTACCCGTTTAGTGAAATCAGAACATTGTTAAGCTTACTTGCACTTCTTGTTGTTTTAGGAATTAACGATATCATATGTGAAATTAAAAAGTCAAGTTAGCAATTCTATTTCTCTACAAATCCTGCATTGAACTTTTTATACGGATTCGAAAAACACAAGAAGTGGCAGTATTAATGATTTATACCCTACATAACTTGCGGATATTTGTGTAACGCTTAGAAAAATTTGAGATAGATCCACCTTTTATCATACCAATTGATTGAGAAAATGATTCTAAGTTTGTCTGTTTGTCTAATATCTGCACATGTATTCTTATGTTCAACGAATTTTCGACTTATTTTGCTGCAGTTTGATCCACTGACTTGTTTTGGCCTAATTTGTAACGACAATTTGACTTAAAAGTAAACTTTACCAAATTTGCTTTCCTTTTCTTGTATCTTAATTACTAGCGAAAGCGATCATTTATGTACCAAAAATGGCTAAGTTTTAATAAATTATGATGAAAATTGATTTTTAGGAAATTAGTTATATGGAAATTGGTTTACATTGGCCTATTTTTTACACAACACTATATACATGGGCTCTCGTGGCAGCAAGCCTTTCTATATCGGTAAAGTCTAATATGTGGTTTATGATCACGGAGGCAACAGACAAATAAAAGAATATTTGGCAAATAAATTAAGTTTGCTAAATTTAGACTACATTGATGTTTCAGGAAAGTGATATATTTACATAAATATAATGTATGTATTTTGGTGCATTATTATGAAACGGGTAAATATAAGGCGAAGTGTTGTAGCGTATTTACGATTGGCCTTGACCGATTTTAGCATTCTTAAGTAATAAGAGAATGATTGCGTTGTTCGTAGCGCATAACGTAACACACATTAAGTAAAAAGCAATTCCGTAATTCCTTCCTGAAAAGAGCATTGGCCGTTTTGTATAATAACAAATGACCATGATCAGGACATCTCCTAAAGCGGTGCCATAGATCCATTTTATTTTTCCTCAAAAACGAAAGCGTGTTGTTCCACCAAGGAACCATAGCTCGTTTAAAAGAAGTGTTGGATTGAGGAATAGAAAGATGAGCAGCCGTGCGAATCGTTTTAGACATAATAGCAGCATCATGGTTGCAGTTCCCGTTAAATGGCTTTGAATTCAAAAATGACTCCACCTGTTTGGAGTAATTGATCCAATCCGCTTTATCTAGGAGGAATTTGGCCTGTTTTGCTGGAGTAGCAGAGGACGTTGAAAGTTTAAGATCGATTATGATTGGAAAGTGATCACTATTATGTAGATCATCACAAATAGATCTGGAAACCAAAGGAAGAAGGGAGGGAGAGCAACATGTTAAATCAATATGTGAAATAGTATGATGAGTTGAGAAGTGCGTTGGTTTTCCATCATCTAAAACGCAAAGGTTGCTTTGAAAAAAGGCCTTTTCTAAAACAGTACCGCGAGTGTTGTTCACTGTTGAGCCCCAGATCGTATTCCAGCTGTTGAAATCGCCGCATATAATTAATGGGGGGCAAAGTACGGAGAATAAATTGTAGAGTTCTTGCTGAGAAAACGATTGCGAAGGTGGAATATAGAGCGAAAGCACTGTAAATTTTATATTTAACATTATTTGTATCGCTACGGCTTGTATATTTGAGCTTCAATTTATGCGTTTGTGAGGTATACTTGATTTTATAAAAACACCTACTCCTTGTTTGGAATATGAATTTTGATCAGCATTCGTTAAGTATCCAGTATATGATTTGGGTGGAATAGGATTAAAAGAGCTTCTACAATAGGTTTTTTGAAGCGATAAAAAGGTTGGATTAAAATCACTTATGAGTGTACGGAGTTCATCAAAATTATTAACAAGTCTCTTAATGTTGCATTGTAGAATTTTAAAAACTTTATTTAATTGTAATGACATGTAAGCAGAGTGGAGGGAGGATTAAGTTGACATGTCAGCGTCTCCGTCGAGAAGGTCGCTATAGGAATTTTTCGTGAATGATTTATTCTTACCAGCAGAATAATCTGTACTTAGGTGATTTGGTACATTTGAAGCGCAACGAGTTGGCGCACGTGAATAATTTGAAATTGAAGGTTGATTAATGGATGAAAGAATGGATTCATTACCACTTGTGATTTGTTGAGTAAAGTTGAGAGCTGGAGATTCTGGAGAATTTGGTATATTAGGTTTTAGCATATGTGTTGTTGTTTTAATTTTTTCAATGTTTGCAGTTGCTTTGGTTTTTTAAATATTACCTTTGGCGGCTGATGTAACTGGTTTCGCAATATAATTTTTGGTTAATGGTGGAACAGGTTTTTCATTGGAAGCAGTTGGAGTTAAAGTCTTACTAGGCTCGATTTGCGAGGCAACAGCAGCATAGGTATTACTTTTGCCAATTCCATGGGCTACAGATGGATTTCTTTCCCGGTATGTGCGTCGCGCTTCGCCCATGCTACAGTAATTTTCTGTTTTGATTTTTAATATTTCACGCATCTGTACAAAACGTGGGCATTGTTTGTCTAACGCTGAGTGTTGATCATTGCAATTTATGCAGAAACTACGGGTACAGCTTTCAGTATGTGGAGGATGACCACAGTTAGCACAGGATGGAGGACTGGTGCATCTTTTTGCCGTATGACCCGTTGGCGTTGGCAGTTTTTACACCTCATGGGATTTGGAATGTAGAATTCTACATTACATTTGTACCAAGCTACATCAACCGTTGCCTGTAGCCGGTAGCGGTCAAAAGACAAAATAAGTCTTCCTGTAGGAGAGCGGGTTTTTCCATCGTCATTTAATTTGACGATGCATTTGGCATAAACTACGCCTTAACCGAGTTCAGTTTGTCATGCAGTTTAGCGGATATAGCGCACAAATTGGCTAATGATTTAGACTTTATGAGCTTTTCAGTTGCGCTCGGTTTCCCAGCCAAGACAAGTAAATTTCCATCGCGTAAAATCGATATAGAGTGTGTATGTGTTGTAATGCTATCTAGTGCTTTTTTAATAGCGAAAGAGCTGATTTGCGAAATTGTTATGGAGGGATCAGTTGGAGAAATTACAACATATTTTTTGTCGATAGGAACGATGCTACTGGTTGGCAACACCGGAAATTCGGAATTTTTAATTTTTTTTCTTTGGGGGGATACGTCTGCTAATAGATGAAATTTATTTGAGTTTTTATCAGGCGGCCCCGGGGCCATTATGCCTTATGCTTGTCTATTGTTTAATAAATTGGTACATAACCACTCACTTGAAAAGGTTTGTGAACTGCTGAGGATAATGGCAATTGTTTTCAATATTTTATTTTTCTTTTATGTTTTTGTTTTTTTGATTTTTTTATTATATTTGCAGAAAAAGAAAGCAAATATCGTATCTGCGACAATCAGTTTTTGCAAAAGCACAGAGAACACACGAGTTAAACACACAAAAACACCGAAAAATACCGAAAACAATTAAAAAATCGCAGACGAAACACAAAACACGCACTACTCAGAACACAAGTCGATAACGTATTGTTTTTTTCGTAAATGCAAACAGCCGCAAACATTTTAAAAATTTGAAAAAAAATTTCGTTTATGCGCAAAGCACAAACTTTCATTGGTTTCAGCATTTTATCTGTTTTTTGGATCTAAATACAGATTACATATGTATAGATTACATTAAAAGCCCGATAAAAACATAAGATTAATGCTTATTATTAACGTCACTTTTTTACATTTTTCTATAGACAACTTTTTTTTTATATATTTATGATTTTTATTTCATTTTTTACCCCATTACCGTCGAAAAAAAACAAAAATGCATAATGAAAAGAGTGTGGAAATAATAATTGAGCTGCAGTAGTGGAGAAAAAGATATTAGGACAGATTTAAATTTAAGGGAAAACAAAAACCGAAACTACTTACCCTCTTACAAAGCAAGTTTCTTTACTTTCAAATTTTTCAAGTGCAAATTTCTTTATTTTCAAATCTAAAAATTATTATATCTAGTCTGAGGTAAAAGCTCACCACATATAACTTGAGAGAAATGAGCGACCACTTGTTGGAATGTATTTGAACTTCGAATTTGGTAACTTGAGAGAGCAATTAAAGGAACGAACATTGTTGCAGTGATGACAGTCAGATTGTTTGCTGTGGGTGGAAATTTTGACTTTAACATTCAATGTTTTAAAGATCCTGCTGCCAACATATTAAAAAATGGTATTTACATTAATAATTTTATTTA